GCCACATGGCATCTTTTCTGTTTTTACATTAGAAATACAGGAGGACTGAAATACAGATGTTAAAAGCAGTTATCTTCGCGTGTGCAACTAAAATGGATTTTTCTTTTCTGTGTTTTTCATCTAGTTTCCCAAAGCATTTGCATTTGTCATCAGAACGGAAGCCGGTTTCAGCGCCCCCGCTGCCACCCCTCACTCACCCACGGGGCAGCTCCTCTTGTTACACATCTGGCGTTCCTGCACATCCCCCACGCAGGCCTTCCCTCCGTACTGAGGCTCAGGGCTGTTGCAGACCCGGGTGCGCTCCCGGATCCCACCGGCACAGGTGACAGTGCAGGCCGACCACGGGGACCAGGGGCTCCAGCGGCCATCGACTGCGGGGAAAGTCAACGGGGGGAGGTCAGAGCAGGGCCCGGGGTGGAGAACACGAGCTGGCTGAGTGAGAGGGAAGAGCAGGTGGGACGTGGTGTTCCCTATACAGCCTCACAAACTGGTTTCTCCCCAGGTTGGCTGACTACAGGTCAGAGCGTGATCGAACCACTAAGCCTGCTGCAACAGTGTATTCCAGGAGTGATGCAGACCACAGCGTTTCCAGTGGTTTTGCTGCGATCTCTTGTCCTCCAGAAGACAAATCATACCACCTCCTCTTTTTAATAAAAGAATTTTTTTAATAGAGAGGGTCTCGCTATGTTGCCCAGGCTGCTCTCAAACTCCTGGCCTCAAGCAATCCTCCTGCCTCAGCCTCCCACGGTGCTGGAATTACAGGCGTGAGCCACCGTGCCTGGTCCCACACCACATTTACACCGAGAAGCTCAGAACTCCTTGCCAAGGTGTCCCTCTGTCATGGAGGGTGACCTCAGCTCAGAAGCCTGGTGTGACACCGAATGTCCTCATAAGCAGTATCCATGAGGCGTGAGCACTGCTGAAAGCAATCCCCGCACACCCTTTTGTTCTCAGCATGTCCATGCACTTCCTGAGCCAGGTCTCACTGGGGAAGCCCTTGATGCTCTGGGCCAAGTGCCCTGTAACTCCCACCCCACCCCAGTCTGCACAGACGCAGGGGAAGGCTATTTCAGAGAGACACAGTTCTGTGCATCTGCGGTATCCTCTGTCCACACTCACTCCCATCTACACTCCTTAC